TCAGACTGAGTCTGCGGGGCTGGGGAAGCTGAGATATCACAGTGCTGTTGTCTGTTCTGCCTCCCTTCTCTGATGACAGGTATGTACTCAAACTTTGAAAGGGTCAGGAGACAGAGGGCTAAGAATCTAACTCCTATCAAGCCCTTGCTATCTGCCAGGCAGCAGATGGTAACACCTTATATTACCTCTGCGTTACTAAATTCTAAAATGGATGACTCTCATTTATTTAAATGAAATGAATGAAAAATTTCAGGCTACTGTCTGAGATCTTGTATGGCATATGTAGGTTTAAAACCCTCTTGGGAGCTATCCTGGTGAACACTGAAACTGGCTCCCATATGCAGAGGGCAGGGAGAGAATGAAGAAAGCAGCAGGTAGGTGGTAGGTGGCAATTTTAATAACAGCAAAAGGAACTTACATAAGAGGCTTGTCTTGGGTGGCAGTAAGGTAAATGGATCCCTGTATACACCCTCCAAATCTTAAAAGCTTACCCAGTTAGGACTGGGTTTGTTTACCTGCACCGTGCAGGTGTTTTCAACATCACATCACCATCTCAAGGCTCTGTCCTTGGAGAAGCCTCTGGGAGCGGGAAAGCGGGAAAGCAGAACCTCCATTCCAAGGACAGGGGAGGGGGGGAGAAGCCTCCAAGTGCCCAGGTCTAGCCCACTGGTCAGTGTACAATGTGATGATTTCTATTCAGGTATATTGCAAAATGTTTACCACAATAAGGTTAGTGAACACATCCTTTACAACACATCGTTACCATTTTGTTGTTGTTACTGTTCTGGTAAGAATGTTAAAGCTCTACTCTCATAGCAACTTTGAAGGATCCAATACAGTATCGTTAACTATAGTCACCATGCTGTGCATTAGATCCCTGGATAGTATTCATCTTATAACTGAAAGTCTGTACCCTTTGACCAACATCTCCTCATTTTCCCCGCCCATCTACTCTGTTTCCATGAGTTTGATGTTTTTAAATTCTATACATGAGAGATCATGTAGTATTTGTCTTTCTTTGACCTTTTTCACTTAGCGTAAAGCCCTCAAAGTCCATTCATGTTGTTGCACATGGCGAGATTTCCGTCTTGTTTTCATGGCTGAATACTATTCCATTATATATGTATAATTACATATACCCCATCTTCATCCATTCATCTTTTGATGGACATTTAAGTTTCCATGTCTTGGCTATTGTAAATAATGCTGTAACGAACACGAGCGTGCAGATACGTTATCGGTATCCTGTTTTCATTTCCTTTGAGTATATACCCAGAAGTAGGATTGCTGGATCATATGGTGTTTCTATCTTCAATGTTTTGAGGAAGCTTGGTACTGTTTCCCAGAGTGGCTGCCCCAGCTGTGGTGTCACCAACAGCACACATTTCCTTCCCATCCTCACCAACACACGTTAGCTCTTGTCTTCTTGCTTGGAGCCATTCTAACAGGCATGAGGTGATAGTTCACAGTGGTTCTGATTTGCGTTTCTTGGATGCTTAGTGATGTTGAGCACTTTTTTCTGTAACATTGCCCTGTCTTCTTTGGGAAAAAATGTCTATGCAGTTCCTCTGCTCATTTTTTTAAAATCAGATTTATGTTTTTGCTACTGAGATGCTTGAGTTTTTATGTATTTTGAATATTGACCCCTTATCAAATATATGGTTTGCAAATATTTTCTCCCATTCCATAGATTGCCTTTTCATTTTGTTTCTTTTGCTGTGCAGAAGCTTTTTAGTTTGACGTAGTCTCACTTATGAATTTTTGCTTTTGTTAGGAGAGTTTTTAGGAGGCAGAGGAGGAAGAGGGCCTGTCAAGGGGCAGGAACCCCAAGGACAAAAAGATGGGAAGATGAACCTTATTGTGAGGATATAGTTGATAGGATTTGGAATCTGAATGTCCATTGAAAGAAATCATTGATGGTCTACAAAACAAAATAAAAACTGATGCTTTGATGAGTCAAACAGACCTGGTACTTCCTTTCTGTGGACTCTCCTGTACTGTGGAGCAACTGGATCCAGAGGACTTAACATTGCCTGGAAACAGGCTACAAAGTGGTTTCACTCTCTAGTGCCACACAAGAATGTGAACAGTAGATGGCACTTTTGTGCTATCCCTAAATTTTCAACCTTCGAAGGGAACTAACCTAAGAATGACTCCTGTTAACATAAAAACAAATTTTATGGTGCTCAAATGGATAAATTCGATTTCTGATTTGAGGGGAATCTGTAAAAGGGGAGCTAATTAAAGGATCAGTTTGTCTTAGGTAGTACCTGGCCTCCAATGATATCTTGGAGGTTTCCATAATGTGAAATACTTGCGGCTTTCTTCCAGATTAATACATTTGCAGTTTGGTTACTGCAAATGTTACTGTAGCAAGTGGAATTGCATGAATTCAAGCAGGCTTGAGGTTAGAAAAAAAATATCCCCAACTTTGGCCATGTTTCCAAATCTCTCTGAGCTTTTGCTGTTTGCAAAGGTGAGGAATAACAAACAAAACAAAGTCAAATCAAACATGGAAAAGAACCACGGGAGGAGCAGTTTGGACTACTAAGAGCAGTGAAATGGAAACAAAGATGTTCCTTTTTCTTTTTCTTTTTGTAAACGTTACTGTTAGGCTAGAATACAGAATTTTACATGCTTACAATGTGCTTGCAATCATGCAAAAGGCATCATGATTTAGTGATTGAGTGGAATCTGGAGGTACCCACTAAAATCTAAAGCTCTGCCACTTCCTGTGTACTTGGGGCAAGTAACTTCATGTCTCTGCATATCAATTTCCTCATTTAGAAATGTACATGGTGATAATAGCATTCTTGTGAGGATTAAGTGTCAAATTTTGTAAGTTACTTAGAGGAGTACTTAGCATGTAGTGAGCACACCATGTATTTTTTGATAACTAGAAAAAAAGTTTAAAATTTTTTACTAAAGGACTTAGAGAAAAATCTGTACTTAAAACCTTCTCTTTTCTTTTGAACTAGTTTCTACATCCCTACCTTTTTCTTTTTCTCTTAATCTGCTATACCCAAGATCAGACATATCCTGGCTGTGAGAAATCCTGAGGTCTTGGTCATTCCTCAGAGTTTCCAGAATTATTATTTTTGATTGTACTCAAATATATATGACATCAAATTTACCACTTTAACTATTCCTAAGTGTACAAGTTACTGGCATGAACTATGTTCACAATGTTTTCAACCATCACTAGTACCTATTTCCAGAATGTCATCATCTCAAACAGAAACTCTGCACTCATTAAACAATAATTCTCCGTTCTCCATTGTCCTCTACCACCTCTGGTAACCTCCATTCTACGTTCTGTCTCTATGAATCCAACTATTTGAGGTACCTCATATACACGGGATCATGCAATATATGCACCTTTGTGTCCGGCTTATTCACTTAGCATATTGCTTTCAAGTTTCACTCGTATCAGAGTATGTATCAGAATTTCATTCCTTTTTATGACCACATAACAGTCATTGTATGTACCTATCACATTTCATTTGTAGATTCATCTGTTAAACATGTGAGTTGTTTCCACTTTTTGACTGTTGTGAATAATACTGCTATGAACCCTGGTGCACAATTATCTGTTCTAGTCCCTGCTTTCAATACTTTTCTGTATAAACCTAGGAGTTAACTTATTGAGGAACTGCCCATTGTGGAACTTGTTTTCCACAGAGCTACAACATTTTACATTCAAACCAGCATCCAGCACTATTTTTAAGGATCTCTCTCTCTCTCTCTTTTTTTGAAGTCAAACCTAGACTGGGAATAAGTAGCAAAGCTTAGATGTTTGCCACAGTTTGTTGATAAGTTGCTGGTATTAACACTCTTGACACATGACCTCCTAGACTAGAGCAATGTTTCACAATGTACACAGCTTAAGACTCCCTTATTACATCTGTAGGGCCCTGATCCCATCCTATACATGTTGAATCAGCATCTCTGGGAATGGGGTCCCCTAAATTATCATTATGCATGCTAAAATATGAAACTCAGAAACGTAGGCTGTTGAGTTCTTGAGGGCAGTGAGAATATCTGCCACCTTTGTACCCCACAGAGCCAAACAGGAGACAGTCAACAAACTTATACTTGGATTGAACTAACACTGAAATCTAAAGGTATTTCCTATCTGCTTAATTGCTATGTACAGTATTTACTGAAACTAAATTCTATCACTAGACAACTAGAACACCTGTAATTAAGGTGTGCAGTATACCTTTCATCTACAGCGAACATGTATCTTACCAGGTGTGGCCCATTAGTGTCATCTTTTGCTGCCAATAACGTTCATCTTATATGTAATTTTCAGCTGAGTCCTTCATGCTTTGAGGTAGGGTAAAAAAGGATACGGACTTAGAATTGGAAGATGTGACTCTGGGATCGTTGACAATTATATGTAAAATATCTAGGAATCAAGTTTATAATTTGTAAACGTTGGTAACATTTTGTCACTCTATCAACTTCATAGTGTTGCCGAAGCGCAGAGATATTATGTGTAACAAAGCCTGCTGTACAAGGGGCTATAGTTACTATGTGGCCTAATAATTTAAACAAAAACAAAAAGTTTCTTTCCGAGGCTTCCTACAGACTTTAAATATGCTGCCGCGTAAGTCTGCGGCTCTAAAGCAAACGCTAATGAGCAGAGAATAGAAACACATAACAGAAAAACATTAAGCGGATGCACAACATTCATTCGTTCATTCGGTTAATCCAGCATCTGTATTCACATCACGAAGCGTATTGTGTGAAAATCAGTGATTAAATAAATTAAAATGTGTCCTCCAGAGGTTTAGTTCCTGTGCGTATATTAATAACTATCAAGCTGCCCAACTTCAGATCAAAACTCCCTTCCCCCGTCATTAAGCGGTTGGGGACCCTCTTCAAATTTGTGGGCGCTGTCTCTTTAACGTGTAATAGAACTTCGATTGCATCGATCATAGACCCTTTACCCTTCCTCCCGTCGGTCTCATTTCCATCCCGGTGACTGCCCTACTTCACAGTTTCAAGCCGCGGGGAGAGCTAAACGTTGGCTTTCGGGTCACACCTGACCCCGGGGCGTCCCGCCTGCCTGCCGGCTGCGGCCCGGATCCCTCCGGCGCCGGCGACGCCTCGGGGCTCGACTGGCCACGCCTGGAGCGCGGCGTTTGACTGGGCCGCCGTTGTTGTAGTGACCGGGAGGCGCCGCCGCTCTGGGCAGACGGTTCCGGGCGTCGCACGGTCCCCCCCCCCACCCCCCCCCGTCCTCTCCCTTCCCCCGGTTCCCCCCGCCGGCTGGAGCCCGGCGCCAACCGCGCCTCCCATGGCCTCCGCCCTGGTAAGGAGGGGCTGGGGGGCGCCTCCCCGGAGCTGTGCCAAGGGCTGCGGAGCCAGGTCGGGGCCGCGCTCGCACCTGGCGGGAGATGGAGGCCGGTGTCCGCAGCCGGGTCCTGAGCCGCGAGCCCCTCGCCCCTCGCCCCTCGCCCCTCGCCCCGGGGCGTCCACGTCTCACTCTCTGCTACTGGGGCCGACTTCTGGCCAGATCCCGGGCGCTTCTCCCCGCGTCCCGGAGCCCCGGACCGAGCCGGGGCAGCCCTATGGCCCCCAGAATTCGCTGAGGGTTTGCGTGGAGCGCCTGCGTCAGAATCACCTGGCAGGTTTTTAAAAAGTACCGAAGCCGGGCCCCACTCGCACCTGTGACTCCGAGCCAGCGGCCGGGGCCCGGGAACGTGCATTCGAATAAGTTGCCCAGGGGGCCCCGCGGGCGCGCCTGGTTCTGGGAAGCGCCCATGGCGGGTTTTGCGGGTTCTGCGCGGGAAGCCGGCGCCTGGCATCCCCCGGCAGGGGTCCGGGCGTGTGCTCGCGCGGGGCGCCCTGCCCCGCAGGCTCGCCGCCAGTGTGGCGGTTCCCAGGCCCGGCTCCGGGGGAGGAGACCGTGCTGATCCCGGGACTCCCGCGTCCGAGGGCTGCACCTGCTTGCAACACTTGACAACTTTCCTTCCCAGGAGGACCCCGCTCTGGAGCGATATTTTAAGGGCCACAAAGCTGCGATCACCTCCGTGGACTTTAGTCCCAACGGCAAACAACTTGGTAAGTGTTGTTCTCTCTTTTTGTGATGAGGTCGGAAACCTTGCCTCCCGTCCACACGGGGCCGCGGGAGAACCACTGAGGACCGGGGTGGAGGTTGAGAGCGGCGGGAGACTCGGGCACCTTGGTCGTGTCGGCCCCGGCGCCCCCATCCCAGCCCCGCAGAGTCGCCTACAGGCCTGGGCCAGGCCGACGACTTTCGCTAACTAACCACCAGGAGGAGTGAGTGGGAAGGGGAGGGGTTTGTCCTCGGCCCAGGGAGGGTGGGGTGCTGGCGAGAGAGTTTGTGAAAAGTTGTGAGAAGAGCAGGAGGAAGCGGGGAGAGAGGAGTTGGGGCTGTGCCGGAGGCCAAGGACTGAGGGGTCTCAGGTCACCCCTGGAAGCCCCCGTGGCTGGAAAGGAGCCGAGCGTCTGCGTCAAAGACGGGACCCGCTCGGAAGTTCGCTCCTACCTGAGCCGGGAACTCAAATCTGCGGGTCCGCAGCCCTTCTCCTGCGTGGTGACTCTGGTGGCCGCGTTTGCGCCCTGGCCATGAGGATCCGGATGGCCGTGAGGTGGACCTGGGCAGGCAAAAGCTGCCTGTTGCTGGCGCTTTTAACAGTGGCCTATATCTTAGTGGAACTCTCGGTCTCCACTTTGCATGCCTCTCCAGCAGCCGACCTTGCCAGGGAGCGGGGGCCAAAACAGCTTTCAGACCCCTGGGAAAAGGCAGAGGATTTGTCTCGTCCGCTCTACAAGAAGCCCCCAGCCGACTCCCATGCACTTGGGGAGTGGGGAAAAGCCAGCAAACTCCAGCTCAGCGAGGGTGAATTGCAGCAGCAAGAGGAACTTATTGAGAGATATGCCATTAATATTTATCTCAGTGACAGGATTTCCCTGCATCGCCACATAGAAGATAAGAGAATGTATGAATGTAAATCCAAGAAGTTTAATTATAGGAGACTTCCCACCACCTCTGTTATCATTGCTTTCTATAATGAAGCCTGGTCGACTTTGCTCCGCACCATCCACAGTGTTTTAGAAACTTCTCCTGCGGTCCTTTTGAAGGAAATCATCTTAGTGGATGACTTGAGTGACAGAGTTTATTTGAAGACACAGCTTGAAACTTATATCAGCACTCTTAATAGAGTGCGCTTGATTAGAACAAATAAGCGGGAAGGGCTGGTTAGAGCCCGCCTGATTGGGGCCACTTTTGCCACTGGGGATGTCCTCACTTTCCTGGATTGTCACTGTGAGTGTAATTCTGGTTGGTTAGAACCACTTTTGGAAAGAATTGGTAACGATGAGACGGCAATTGTTTGTCCTGTTATAGACACCATTGATTGGAATACTTTTGAATTCTATATGCAGACCGGGGAGCCCATGATTGGTGGATTTGACTGGCGCTTAACCTTCCAGTGGCATTCTGTCCCCAAACATGAAAGGGACAGACGGAAATCGAGAATTGACCCAATCAGATCACCCACCATGGCTGGAGGACTGTTTGCTGTCAGCAAGAAATATTTTCAGTACCTTGGAACATATGACACTGGAATGGAAGTGTGGGGAGGTGAAAACCTTGAGCTGTCTTTTAGGGTGTGGCAGTGTGGTGGTAAATTGGAGATCCACCCGTGTTCCCATGTGGGCCATGTATTCCCCAAGCGGGCGCCATATGCTAGACCCAATTTCCTACAGAATACTGCTCGGGCAGCGGAAGTGTGGATGGACGAGTACAAAGAGCATTTCTACAATCGAAACCCTCCAGCAAGGAAAGAAGCTTATGGTGATATTTCTGAAAGAAAATTACTACGAGAACGGCTGAAGTGCCAGAGTTTTGACTGGTATTTGAAAAATGTGTTTTCTAATTTACACGTTCCAGAGGATAGGCCAGGTTGGCATGGAGCTGTTCGCAGTATGGGAATCTCTTCTGAATGTTTAGATTATAATTCTCCTGACAACAACCCCACAGGTGCTAACCTTTCCCTGTTTGGATGCCATGGTCAAGGAGGCAATCAATTCTTTGAATATACCTCAAGCAAAGAAATAAGGTTTAACTCTGTGACAGAATTATGTGCAGAGGTTCCTGAGCAAAAAAATTATGTAGGAATGCAAAATTGTCCAAAAGATGGGTTCCCTATCCCAGCAAACATTATTTGGCATTTTAAAGAAGATGGAACCATTTTTCATCCACACTCGGGGCTGTGTCTTAGTGCTTTCCGGACACCTGAGGGTCGACCTGATGTTCAAATGAGAACTTGTGATGCTCTAGATAAAAATCAAATCTGGAAGTTTGAGAAATAGAAGAGCACAACGGCACTTTCTTCCTGAGCTGACAAGAGTTCCAAGAAAGTCAAAGAGCCGGTAAAGAACGTCAGTGAAGATTTTATTTTATCAGAAATCACCCACTGGTCATCTGCGAGAGCTCTGTGAAAGCTGTGTTCCATTTTGGTGTAGAACACTGAAAGTGGGTGCATAGAGAGCTGCTCTTTAATCTCTCAAAGTGCCTTACTGATGGGTTGTCTTATTTAAGAGCTTTGTCAATATGGTTTCTTCTCCTTAAAGAAGTTGACTGTGAATTGAGATACACAAAATGTTTAAGTGCCAGACTTAGTATTACAGAATGTAAAAGTCCAAGCATAATGAGGGATGAGTTATGTTGATGGGTAAGTTCACTACCCATCCCTTTAAAAACAGAACTCATAAATGTGCGGTTGGAGCTATTGCTGTTTTGATTGTATATAGGATTTGAATTTCTTTTAGCCAGCACATTAAATTTTAGGTGTTTTTTTTTTTTTAATTTTGATTTTCCTTTAATCAGCTAGAAATCAAAGAAAGTTGATTTGAAGGGAAAAGGCCTGGTTTAGATGTATGTTTCATTGGAAGAGGTCATTAGTTTGAATATGAATTTGGAGGTCTTTTTAACATGGAGACATCTCAGAAAAGCATACCCACGTCTGATGAAATGGGGAGAGATTTACATTCCATACTTGGTGAACTTGAGCTATTAGACTTCACTGATTTGTATTGATACCTCATATTGCTCTGATTTTGTAAGCTGTCCTCTCTGTGAACTCTTTTTTTGTGTGTGGGGGGCATTTTCTGATTGCACTTCCTTAAGTTATGAATGTACTGGAGAGGGACTCATTCACAATACTGTGCTTCCCTTTGTTAATGCTTAATCGTTTAAAGTAAACATAGTTGTTGGCTCTCTGAAGTTAAACCCAACTGCGTTTACTGAAATGTGTGAAACTGAAAGTGGGCCGCGTGCTACAAAGGCTGTGGGATTCTTGTAGGAGTCTTCCTGATTAGGACATTTAAGGATTTATCTTAAAACAAGGAAAAAGACTGTCTGGGCACTGGTGAATGCCACCTTGCAGCCTGTTTTCAGCACCTAGCATCAGCCTGGTACTCAGGCAGCTTTCATTAAGTGGGTGAATGGATGGATGGATGGATGATGAATGAATGAAAGGCTCAGCCATGGAATGTGATTTTGGTCCTGTCCTTTGACCAACAGACTGTTTGGGCCTCAGTTTTCTCATCTGTAAATATGGGTGCTGGATTAGATCTCAGAGATTCCTTCCAGCTCTGAAATGTTTTGATCACACATTACAATCACTCTTGCAGTCTTTATAATACTTTTTATGTCTTCACTTTTAACACAGATAATGTGGTTGAACAACATTCAGTTCAGTTATGAAGCTGGAAAAGAGGGACAGTTTTAAATTAAGTGAGGGTCGCCTGGGGGGCTCAGTCGGTTAAGTGTCCGACTCTTGGTTTCAGCTCAGGTCATGATCTCGGGGGTCATGGGATCGAGCCCCACGTTGGCCTCTGCACTAAGTGGGGAGTCTGCTTGAGATTCTCCCTCTGCCCCTCCCTCCACTCTTTCTCAAATAAATAAATAAATAAATAAATAAATAAATCCCTAAAAAATAATTAAGTGAGCTGAGCCCAACTGAAGTGGTTTAGTTTGGATTGAGTGGAAAATTGTTGTGGTCAATGTTTGTATTCATTTTATTTTGACAATTATTGAACCAATTTTTGTTTTTAGCTTTACTCTTCAAACTCTAAAAGTAATCTTTTGGGCTAAGAATATAAATATTTACCAAAACTAATTACCTGAGTAAAAGCATACTTTTTTTTTTTTAAGAAAAAAGTATGTTTACTAGTTTTATTTCAATGCTATATCCAGAAATCATAGGCTGAATTTAGAATTAAATCTCAATTAGTTCACTTTGGTCTAAATTTATGAAAAATGCGTACTCCATAGAGAATTAGATGACAGTACTCATAAGTAAAGTTGTTTTCAGTGCGTACATAATGATGGGACAGAAGGGACTTTGCAGAATGTGAATTTAAGGAAAGCTTTTAGGATAACCATTTTAAAAAGTAAAAGTGCTATGTATCTTGAATATTTTATTTCTCTTTTGCTTCTTAAAATGAAAATGTGTTAATAACTTTCATTAATTACCAACCTTAAAGTTTATCAAAGAATTGTCCAAATTTCATGTGCAATGTACATGGCCATGGGTGTAATTTAAGAAGGATTTATAAGAATACTCTGAATTTTGCAAAAATCGTTGTTTGATAGCAGTTGTTCTAAACCCACCCTCTCCTCTTGCCCGGTCTACTTTTTAATTTAAATTATCCTTTCTCTCTCTCTCTTTTTTTTTTTTTTTGTTCTTGTTAGCTCCCTATCAAATGGAAAAACTAAAATTGATGTATTCTGGAAGTACTTATTGGAATTACTTTTATTCCAGTATCTTGCTGCTCTTGTCAAAAGGTGAAGGGGGGGGGGGTACTGAAAAGCAGAGTACTTAATTGTTTACCTATTGCCTAAACTTCAGGCTGTGACCCATTCATCTTTTTGGAAGGAATTTTGGGATAGTGCTTTATTTATACCAATAACTTGAAAGTGTCCAGTTGTTCATTCCTCTGGACAGTGTATGTAACAGAAGAATGAGACTTTCATATTTTCATCTTTAGGCATTTCCAATTTAATTTCAAAAACATACTGTAAAATTACAAACAAAATTTATTTTGATTCCCTAATTCCAATTTATTGGTACCAAAGCTCTCTTCTGCTGTAGACCATGAAGAGTTGACCTTTTAAGTTACTTTACATACTAGTAACAGTTTCAGTAAAATATTTGGTAGACAAGAGGTTTCCATTTTAAATGGTCACTGTCATTTAGTGTCCAGTTCTTTGAGTAGATTGTCTAAATAGGCATTTCTAGCAGTCGTCTTTTAAAAAATTGATAACCTAGTCATCTGCAGGATCTCTGTAACTCAGAATAACTTGTTTGTGTAAGAAAATCTGTTTACTCCCCCAGGGGTAGGCTCCTGCATATTCATTGTATGTTGGCAAATCAAACTTTTCTAGGTTGAATACAAGAGGTTATTTTTAAGTTGTAGAGTCTTAGTGGTTTTAGGATCTCAATTTTAATTAATAAAATATTTAGTTTTGACTTGTTTGTCCCTTTAAATTGCTGTGTTAATAATATTTTTAAATGAGCACAAAGAATGTTGAGGTTCAGATTAATCTTTTGAACAATGAATTTTTTTCCTTTGTGATGAGCAGTTTCCATCCTTTTTTTTCCTTTTGTTAATGGTTTTTGCAATATTGATTAAGATATAAAATAAAATGTGTGGCTAATTATTTTTGCAAATGGATTCTAATAATTTTAGTCTATGGGATCATTGTTTCTGTGTACACATTTGTTGATGGTAACAGAGGTGAGTTAAGCTTGTAATTATTTTGCTTGTTTGAAATACAGACAGAATATTAAAAAGTCAAAGTTCCTGCATTATTTTGCAAGGTGTCATTAACCAACAAGCATTCTGAAGTGGTGTTAGCACTATTAATACATGCGTTAACTACTTGTAAACAAACAGGAAATGATCCTGGAGTTCTGGGACCCATTGGGGGCACTATAAAAGGAAGCAGGTGAGCGTCTGGGCACCTTAACACCAATTTCAAAACGCTAGGCTAAAAAGAAATAGGTCTATTCTGTAAACCACATAGCCTCACATTTCCCTTAACCTTCTCTCTGCATCACCCCATCCTAAGTACATTTCCTGTCCACCAATCATATCTCTCTTCCTCCTTAGTGATTCTGCCTAATGCCCTACACCCCTGCCTCTCCCCAGCCTGAGACACTGCCTGGGAATCACTATTCTAAGTGAATAGTGGGGATTCACTATTCTAAGACATCAGATGTCTTATAGCCACATTTAGGATATGTATAGTTGAGATAAACGTATTTTTATACTGACCTTTTGGTTTTTTTTTTTTTTACATAGAGTTTAAAGTGTTACTATAAATATGTATGTTATAATCTTGCTGTCTTACTAAGTGATGGCAACCCTGTGCAAATCATTTTATCTCTGTTTCAATTTCATGAAAGTGAAAAAAGACTGGGAAAATCATAGAGACAGTACATAGGGTTTGCCAGGGGTTGGTGGGGGCGAGGAGTAGAGAATCATTGCTAATGGGGATGGTGGTTTTTTTTTTTTTTTTGCGGGCAGGGATGTGATGAGAATGTTCTGGAATTACATAGTGACAATGGTTGTACAACTTTGGGTAAAACACTGAATTATACACTATAAAAGGGTGAATTTATGGTATTTGAATTACATCTCAATTATTTTTTAAATAAAGAAAACTTTAGGGGAAAAGAAGAGGCTGGAGAATTTCATGTATCCCGGAAAAGATTTCTATGTCCCTCTGTGCCCATTAGACTTTAAAACAGGCCAGCAGGATTTATTAATACTTGAGTCATTTTGTAATTCATCAGAATTAAGAAAGCTAGATATATATGTGAATTAGGCTGTGAGTAGAAATCAGTTTGTATTGGAATTTTTTCCTAAGATTTCAGAGAAACCTCAATCAATTTTTTTGAACAGGAAGTAGGGATTATTATAAAAGGTGAAATGAGTTCCTGAATTGAATAGTTGTCCATGGCAGAACTGAAGAGTAGACAGGTCCTTACAACTTGCTGTTAATCAGACACTACTTTTCCTTTTGTGCCAAGCTCAATCATTTTCTCAAGCTGGCCTGGGAGAGTTGTCTACTGCAGGCCAGGGGTGTCCTTGGCTGTCTGGTCACTATTCTAACCCTCTTATTTGCATGTATCTAATCTTGTTCAAAGAGGGAAATGGGAGGTACTCTATTTAGTGCTCCTTTATTTAGTTAATGCTACTGTGTGCCAGATGCTGGCTTATGCTCTGGGTATACATACAGAGGTGAACAAAACACATGTGTATGCTTTTTCAGGGGGTATGAAGAATTCACAGTCCAATGATAGAGACAGATTTTAACTAGGAAACACATAAATCATGTGCAAGTACAACCTGAAACAGGAAAAGAAGTGCATGGTATGAAGAAAAGGAAGAACAGTGGCGACGTAAGTTTATGGGGTTAAGAGACACTCCTTTGTAGAAGTTAGATTTAACTCAAGACCTGAAGGAGGAGTTAGCTAAGCAAAGACTGGAGAGAGAATAGCGTATGCAAAAACCAAGGGTGGGAAAGAACTTGTCCTTGATCAAGGAAATAGAAGAAGGCCAGAGGTGCCTGGCTGGCTCATTTGGAAGAGCATATGACTCTTGATCTCAGGGTTGTGAGTTCAAGCCTGGCATTGGGTGTAGAGATTACATACATACTTACATACGTACATACATACATACATATACAAACAAACCTAAAAAAAATTTACTTAAAAAAAAAGAAGACCAGAAGGGCTAGAGCCTGTAAATGAAGAGAGAGAGTTTTGGGAGATGAGTTTGCAGGGGAAGGCAGAGGCAGTTTAGGTAAGGTCTTGGAGGCTAGAGTGGGTCAAATGGTGGCACTTCAAACATGTCCCTGAAACCTGTAAATGAAACCTTATTTGGAAAAAAAAAAAAGTTCTTTCCAGATGTAATTAAGTTAAGGATCTCTAAAAGAGATCATCCTGGATTATCTTGGTGAGCCTTGAATCCTATGACAGGTGTTCTTATGAGAGACACAGAAGAAATAAGAGGAGAAGGCCATGTGAAGCCAGAGGCAGGGATTGGAGTCATGCAGCCATGAACCAAAGAGCTTCTGGGGGCCTCAGACATTGGAAGAGGCAAGGAATGGAATCCTCTTTAGAACTTCAGAGGGATTCCTGCCAACACCTTGATTTTGTACTTCTGGCCTTCAGAACTATACCAGAAAATTTCCTTTGTTTTAAGCCTCTAAGTTTGTGGCAATTTGTTATGGCAGCCACAGAAAACTAAGACAGAGGCCATGTTTTAGGATTTTGTTCTGAGAGTTGTGAAAAGTTGTTGAGAGGTTTTAAGTAAGGGAATGGCATGATATGATTTATACCTCAAAAAGATCATTGTGGCTACTATGTGGAGACTGAACTATTAGTAGAGAAATCAATTAGAAGCTATATTAGTAATAACAGCAGGAGATGATGGTGGTCTTCAAACCAACGTGGTGATCTGGGAAAGAGAGAAATGTGGTTCTTAGCATAAAGATGGTATTTAAAGTTGTCAAAAATTCAGAAATAACAGAAGTAACACCAAGCAGTCCCTGAAATAGTAATTAGTAAAAGTTTATTGTGTGCATGCCATAAAGACAGTTTGCAAACTGGGAGTAACTCAAAACATGGAATGAGGCTCAGAGATATGTTATAAAGCAGCTTTTACTGTAAGAAAGCAGTGACTTTATTCTTCACACTGATTGCTTGTAATATTAGAATTGTCTTAAATGATAGGGTGTTGGTCAGCAGTTACCTTGGGAAACAGTTCAAGTTTTCTTATGATTTCCAGGGACATAAGCAAGAAATGACCCAGGTCAAGTTAGTTTTACAAAATAAGCTAAATTAATCTTTGTATGACTAAATAGGTTTTGTGTGCTCAGGGAATTTTCAAGGCTGGTCTCCATTTGTTTTTGATTTTAGCAAAGTCATGGGAATATTTGAGGTCACCTGGGAAGAACATAGAACAATGAGGGCAAATGGCCCAAGACTGAGTCCTAAAGATCTCCAACCTCTAGACCAGAAGAAGAAATGGCAAAAGAATCTAAGAAGGGATAATCAGAAAGATAGGAGAAAAACCATGAAAGTAGGGTGTCATGAAAGCCAAGGTCCAGGGTGGGGTAGAAATGTTGAATTGAGAGGAGAAGATACTACAGTTATTAGCAGGGGCACCTGGGTAGCTCAGTCGATCAAGTGTCTGACTCTTGATTTTGGCTCAGGTCATGCTCTCAGGGTCATGAGATCGAGCCGCACATCAGGCTCCGCGTCATTAGGAGAGTGGGGAGGGGACTATAGCAGAATTAAGCACTGCTGGACAGTATGGAAGATCCTTGTGAAATTAGTGGTTCTGAATTTACAGTGTTTCCAATCTGTTTGGGGGTGTGTCTAGCCCTTTTCACTGGTACAGATATAGTCCCAGAAAAGACAGACTGATTGGGACTTGGCTGAGGAAATTTAAAGGAAGGAGGGAGGGTTAAGGGGTTGAATATATGTGGAAGAGAGGGATTATCAATTGGATAAGGAGAGAAATGAAGATTAGAATTTGGAGGGAGAAATGAAGAGAGCCCTCTGCAGGTTGTCAGAGGATGATGGCTTTTGATTCATGATCTGGGAAGTGTTCAGGTTCTGCTGATGACAAGATGCAGGATGTGGCCTCTGAATGAGTCGCTGAGGAAGCGTGGAACTAGAGGGCTTTGGAGAGTCTTGGTTATTCCCTTGGTCTGAAAGGCTCTTCAGTTTTCACTCTGCTTGGCTGGCTCCTTCTTGTCCTTGATGCCTCTACTTAAAATGCTACTGATAACTCCATCTGAATTAAGTATTCTACCCTCACACAGAATTCTTATTATGACTCCCTGACTTATCTTTCATGTCTGTTAGCACAATTGAAAATGATATGTTTGCCTGTTGTTGACTTGTTTTCCTCCTCTTCATCTGAATGTAAGTAAGCTCCCCATTTAGAGATTTTGCCTATTTTGTTACTTAGGACTTTCCCTGCCCTTGCCACAATGCCTTACGTGTTGTAGGGGTGAGATATCTTTTGAATGAACTAATAATATCAGGAGTTGGAGAGGAAAACTGTGACCTGGGGTAGGTGAAATGGGAAAGAGAAAATGATTGTCCCTTGAAAGGGTTTCAGGAAACTTGGGGTTCCCAAGCAAAATCAAACATAAGTGGTTGAGAAGAAGGGACTTTCAGGGAGCAGGAGGTAGGTATAAGGGAGATCATCTAGTGGGTGTTCCTCTGGCCGAGTGGTAACTTTTGGAAAGAGAGAAGGCACAGGTGTTAGGGTCAGCTAAGGGGACATTCAGAGCATTATGGGAGTGAGTACATGTGATTGATGACCAGAGGGGCTCAAGGCTCCAACTTCTGGTCTGGTCATGACTGGAGGAAATAGAGCATAAAGTGTGGCAGATTTATACTTGATAACCTTTTAGAAGGTGGTGGGCTCTTGGGTTTCACAGGGTGGGTTGGGAAGGATCAGAGGACAGGGGAGTGGGAAGAAACAGTAACCGGTGAAGTGTTTCCATCCCTTTTGATGGTTCGGTGACTTTGCTGAAGCTCTGTAGCCTGGCTGGGCCTGGTTTGCCGTCTGATTCTGGAGCCACATTTTTTCCATTAGGCTGCCTTCTCAGAGGGCAGCGCTCAAGTTTATTTA